TCCAGTTTATATTTTAATAAGGAGCCAAATTCCTGTGGAACATTCACGACAAGACCTGAGGTCACATTGAGTCAAAAACCAATCAGCAGCCTGTCAGATACTCCGGGTTCTCTACCCTTATGAGATTCATGTTAACTAAATTATCTTATAACTGCTACTTCTCTTTGTCATTGCAGTATATGTTTGATTTGTAATAACGTCTTTTTTTAAGGGCGTTGTCCTCCACATTTTGCAGCTTTTTAGTCATTTGGAAAATGATGCTTCGGCTGAAAAGCTGATGAAACAAACTAGACATAGTTGATTTAGCATTTTATCAAACGATCACATTGGCTCTGTGACAAATTCAGAACCTTGTGGTTACTCTTGACCTGTATTTCTTGGCATTTGCGCGCTATCTACTGGTGAGAGGTGGCACAAACCCACAGAGCTTTCCTGATACCAGTCAATCTGTCATTTAGCATTTTTAGAAACAACCGGAAAATGAGGTGCTGACATTCACCAGACAGTGTTTACAACCACAAAGAATCATGTTTTATCAGGGATTTGTTTTTGAATCGAATATTTTGTGTGATCGCTGTTACATGTTTAACACATTTTTCTTTGCTTTGTAGTTTTGACATGTTTTAGAATGGGATATAGCAGCATAGCTTATTCTTCTGTGTCATATTAACATCACACCAGTGAACCCATCACTGCACCGGTTGACATGTTAATATACATCACAATAATCAATAATCAAACATCTATCTGCAGTGCCCAGCCCAGTTTATTTTTGAAATATTAACATGTTAACATCTTTGGTTCATTCTATCTTTTAAAGGGCAACTAGCCTTTTCACCTCCGTCATTTCACATGTGGATGGCCAACAGGAAAATAAACTTTCATACTTTCTGTACATTTTACCTAATATATCTGCACTTCAATGCAGGACTTGTATGACTGTTATATTTATGTAATGTGGTATTACTACTTTAAGTCAGGTAGTAGATCTGTGAACTTCTTCCTGATATTTATAAATATCCACTAAAGACCATATTTACAGACATGAAGTATTCCAGTATTTGAAGTAAAAAGTACACAGTGAAATGAGAGAAAAAAAGATCTTGAATCCTTTAATAGAAGCAGTGATACCTATAAATACTGTAGATACTATTGCACACATTATTATATACACACAGAAGTTACAGTTGAGTGTAAAAAGCTTTTGTTTTTTTTATGTTGGCACAATTCAATTATGTGAGTTCATTATTTACAGCAGTACTACGTCTACAAGTTCATCTCAACGAGTTTACAGTACACAGAAAATGACACCATGTGAAATTACTACATGACATTCAGAGTGAGAAATTCAAAGCCTGAGAAGTTGAGAACAAATGCACAAACTTTGGTTGTTGACAAAATGCACCAATAAGTCAAGTTTTCTTGCACTGCAGATGGCAGCATAAA